TCTACGAATACCTCGGTACTCCGAGGCTACAGTTTTGCGCAGAAAGTTCAAAAAGTGACTTCGAATGCTAAGTTATCTAACAAAAATTTCCGAGCTTACAGTTTAAAACAATAGTCTACATCATATCTACGAATACCTCGTTACTCCGAGGTTCAGGTTAGTAAAAATCAATCTAAAAATATTTTTTTATGTACGTTAATGTAATCTGAGAGTGAGAGGCATATAGGCATACTATATACCTCTCACCCTTCAATTCCTACCAGAAAGTTCGAAAACTTGGTCGCAATTGCATCTGATTGCGACCAAGTTTTCGAACTTTCTCGAGGGAATAGGAGCCTACAAAGCACTGATTATGTATTAGTGCCTGGTAGGCTCCTATTCACTTTCTAAATGGGAGAAACTTTGCTTTCATAAGATAACATACGAACAAAGTTTCTCCCATTTAGAGTTTGAATTGAAGGGTGCGAGGTATATAGGCATACTATATACCTCTCACCCTTTAATTCCTATGAAAACAGTTCTAAAATAAAAATAAAAAACAAACTTAAATTAACTATTAAATTTTTATATTTTAATTTCATATTTTTAATAAAATTCCTTATATATTATAATTATTATATTAAAAACCCTTTCGAATTTTGGCGCGAAAATAAGAGTAGGTGTCACTTTTTGTCACTTTTCTAGTGACCCTTTTCGGTACGGAACAAAAAATGTGAATTCATGTTCATTTGTAATTGTAACATCTTCAATATTATGTCGAGAACTGTTGTCGATGACATAGAAGAAGTAAATATGTTCTGCATTGTTTTCGTTTGTGAATGTTCCTGAGACTGTGATATTTCTATCAATTTTGTTGTGGTATGTAGACAGAGGTTCTTTGTTGACAATGAGAGATGGATTGTTGAATATATATATGAAATTAATGTTTTCTTCATTTGATTTCTTAAGACTTTCATCATAACAATAAATTGTGACTTTGTGAATTCCTTCATTCAAGTATGATGGAATATCGATGTTTTTATTGAATTCATGAGATGATGTATTATAAATTGTTATTCTTTCAACAAGTCGTTCTAAACCATTGTCATCAATAATGTAATTTATTGTAACTGTTCCACTTCCATCAAGATCAGTGACACTTCCTTTGATTTCAATTTGATTATTTATTCCTTTTCGAATTTGTTGATTGTTTTCTGTTGTTATAGAAATTGATGGTGTGTTGTAATTGAAATCAAATTGATAATGCAAATGATTTGAGTCTTTTTGATTAGAATCAACAGCCCAAATATAAATTATATGTGTTCCTTCTGAGAATGATGATGGAATTTTAACTGTGAAATCAAAATCATAATTTGTATTTATTTCATTGACTACTATTGATTGTGATGTCTTCTTAGTTGCTGTTTCACTGTCAAATTGGCAGTAAATATCAATTAGTTCATTGCCATCACGATCTGAAACAGATAAAGTAACAAAGATGTTGTAATCTGTATTTTTGTGTATGATGACTTAGGAGCTGTTGTGATACTGATAATTGATGGATTATAAATGTATTCGAATGAAAGATTATATGTTTTGCTATTAAAACCATCTTTTAATAAATAAATATGAATTGTGTGATTGTTCTCTGGTAAATCATTTGGAAAAGTGATTGGTTTAGTGAAAGTTTCATCATTTGAATCGACTTGAACTTCGTATTGATTTGAGTGTTATTATCTTCGTTGAAGTAATATTTAATGAGAGCTGTTGATTCTCCATTTGGATAACTTGCAATTCCTGATAATGTCAATGTCTGACCACTGTTCTTTATAATTTTTGTTGGATTTAAACCTAAATTAGATAGAGTAAGTTTATTTGAATATCCAACTGCAAATTCTAAAGAATTCTCGTAAACGAAAAAGGGGATTTGACTCCGTCAAATCCCCGCTCGCAAAAAGTGGACTTTACATGTCAAATTTTATATGCATGTAATGTCCACTTTTATGAGTTTTAGGAAGGAATTGGAAGCCATGAGTTACTGACATTTCATCAGTATCTCATAGCCTCCAATTCCTTCTTAAAATGGGAGAAACTTTGTCCGAATAGTTTAACATTCGGACAAAGTTTCTCCCATCTTTCAATGTAATTGCTACCTGTGAGGTACTGACTTGAAGTCAGTGCTTCACAGGTAGCAATATCCAAAAATTTAAAAACATTTTATCAGTTCGTTAAAGAACTAGAGCCTCCTAGGTACTGAACCAGAATCAGTGCCTAGGGGACTCTAGTGATCTATATAAATCTGAGAAACTTTGAGGAAATTGTTCGACATTTCCTCAAAGTTTCTCAGCAATTTAGCGAGGAATGTTCGTTATCGTGTAGATATTTATAATATATACATGATAACAAACATTCCCCGCTAAAAGATGTAAAATCTTATAAGAAATAATTGCAAAAGAATAACAAATTGCAACAAATTTTATATGAAACTGAACCTTATGAGGTAGTGATTCAAGATCACCGCCTCATAAGATTCAGTTTCAATCTCAAGTATCTCAAAAGTAAGGCTCTATTTTTGCCATGTAAAGTGTCACTTTACTGTCAAACCGTTTTTATCGTTTTCGTTTACAACAGAGGTTAATACGTTTTTCTAAATAATTAAAATGTAAAATTTTGATTGTGAACTCATCTCTAATATTTTGGCTCCTTAATATATTTGAATCATGATCTTTGAGAAGAGTTCTCAAAAGTATTCACAAAAGCTATTTTTCCTTGAAATTTAAAAATCCTGTTTATCATATATTACCGAATTCAATTCCCTACATATTTCAAAATATTCTATGAACATTTCAATTTTTGAAAAAAACATATTTTTTCCAAATATATTTATTATCATATTTCTAATAATATTTCCTAAAGCGTCACTTTTTACTTCCTCGACGATTATTTCCCTCTCAAAAAATTCAATAGCTTACATTTTGACAGAACTTAATATGTAACAGTACTGCCATTTTATGGTGATGTAAAGTATTCAAAAAATTTGCAATGTAAACCATTACATGGCAGAAACTTTAAAATAAACAAAAACATGACACTTAGTACAGGGGCTTTTTGGCTGGTGAAGTCAGATAAAACGTGGCTCAAGTGCTCGTTTAAAATTAAAAATGGAATTTCTCACAGTCGAATTTCTTGGTAGACAACAAAAGTTTATCATCAATTGTCGCGCCGAAGGTATGACATATAGTCAAACTAAGCTTGCATGGGAGGAAGAATACCCAGATCTCGGAACTTTAACATCCAATCTCATTGCTACTGCACTTAAAAGAGCTGCATTAGGTCTATACTGGGAAAAAGGGAATCATGGCGGTGCAGATCCATACCTATGCGAGCGTGATCAGCTCACTTTAAAAGAAATTATCGAAGATTCTGCTTACAAAGGTGAAGCTCTAGAAGCAGCTGACATTATTGACGAGGCGTTCAAGTTGAAAGAGCTCAGAAGAGATTATGGTTACAGATTCCTTCTTGAGATTAATTGTCCTACTCTTGCAGAAGAAGTTATCAATACTCTTGGTGGTGATGATGTATCGAGACCTTATGTTAACCATATTTTACAGCAATTGCATTGCAAGCTTAAGGCATGCCAAGAGATTGAAGAATCAAGATACATGGCGTGTGAACCAAGAATTATCGAAGAATTCTACGATAAACATCGTGAACCAATCGAAAGTACTCCAGAGGAGTTGATTTTTAGTATCGATGAAACATTCATAAACAAATTTAAGAAGAAGAAAGTTGCATTACCTGAGGAGATAGAGCATATGATCGCCAAAGGAATTCCAAACTTTCCGCACATTACAGCTTTATGCGGATGCTCAATGACAGGCAAATCTGTCCCACCTCTCTTTGTTCTCCCATGTATTGCAGAACTACCTAGAGAACTGAAAGTATTCCAGCGCGAAAGACATTGTTGGTTTACTTCTACGCCAAAAGGCTGGGTGAACAGAAGTGTATTCTTATTGTATTGCATTTTCTTCATCGAGTGGCTTAACTTTGAACGCCAGAGAATGCCAGAAGATATACGTGACAAGCCTGCTCTCATTGTGTGTGATGGACACTCCAGCCGCGAGAATCCTCTGGCATTGTTCCTTTTGGCAAGTGCCAACATCAAATTAATTGTTCTTCCCGCACATACAACACACATTTTACAAGTATTTGATGTTGGCATTGCCAAAAGATTAAAGTCCAAATTCACGGATTATCTGAGAGATTACATTAAGGCACCGAAGCAAGAGTTCAACAGCAATGCTGCAATGATGCGCTACGCCATTATCTACTCATTTATTAGCGCATGGCAAGAATCAGTATCATTAAGAACGGTTCAAAATGCTGCTGCCGCCTGCGGGCTTTGCCCTTGTTCTGTAGAAGCTCTCAAACATAATAAGTATGTTCGTGAATTGACTCCTGCAGAAAAAGAATTGCAAGAGAAAAGAAATTACCGTAATCGAAATCGTTTTAACATCAATGGTGAAGAATTGACGACGATGGACATGATTTGCGCAATTTCTGACAATATTAAGAAGAATCCTGCAAATCACAGATTTTGCAGGAAGCCAGAACAAGACACCAAGGAACGTTTCTACTTTTGGATTACAAACTATCTTGATCCCAGCACTGAGTTGTTGACAAAACTCCCTAATATGCCAGGTTATAGTCCAAATGATTAGGAAAATTTTCCAATTTTCCAACAAAAATTTTCCAATTCTCCACCAAAAATTTTTTAATAAAATATTATTTTACGGCATTGCCCGTCACTTTTTTTCGGTACAAGGCTAATATCACGGTATAACCCCCCTGAAAAGACTTTATGGGTTTTTGTATGAGAAAGAAGTGTTCATATATATGTTTGAATTTAAAATTTGAAGATAACAAAGCGACAATACAATGTTTATCCGCTATCATTGGGAAATTTCTCCATGAAACTTATTATAGGGGGTGAAAAATATAAATGGGGTATTAACCATAACATGATCGATAATATTTTTGTATCTAAATTTAACCAAATTCGATTAACTTTTGGTCTTGATAGAGATGCTCTGAATTTTATAGATCAAGAAACCAGGAAGATCGCTGAAAACCCAGCAAATGTTTTGGAATATTTAAACAACATTCATAACTACGTTCACACAATCCCAGATTTAGCGCGCCTTGTAGATGATATTTCTGATGAAATTAAAAAACAATCAAATCCAAAAGAAAATTCAAATAGTTTTAACGAAATTTTACGAATTTTCAAGGAAATCAGTAACAAATCCGCATCATTATTTGTAAATCTCATGTCACTGTTCCTATCCAACCTAATTCCATCCATTTATTTCCTTGATTTTATCAAAACTATTTTACAAACATCGGATAAGTACACGCAACCACTATATAATATTATAGAAGTATCAGTTCTTGCGATACAGATCAATCCTTTTGGCTTTTTGAAGTCTCTTCAACCAGTTGATTTACAAAAGGTTTCTATCATATACGATCCAAGCTATAATACATCTAGGCCATTCCAGTTTTTGTTTTTGTGCAATTTTGTACTAACTGAAGACGAATTATCCCATTTATTAAATCTTATTTGGTTATATAGCTTTAAATTGCTCAAATCCGAAAATGTTGTTGAAGCACTTGGTTCTATTAACGAAAAACTATCTGAATACTTCAAAACTCTCTCCAAAAGCTACGAACCAGAGGAATTTCACCCAACCAAAGTTTCAAAATATTTAGACAACATGATTTTCACTCGTGCTACGAAATATATTTCAAAGCCATTTTTGGAGTATTTGACCCAAAAAAAGCCAGAAAATTTGTATTCGAATGTTATCCAGCTCGCTAACAGCAGTAGATTCATTGCAAGTAGCCAAAATCACTTTATTGATGATTATAATGTATTATATAACAGACTTATTGTTGTTTCTAATTATTATATTAATATTTTACAATTTTCGATAACGGGCGACCAAAAGCACTATACGCAGCTTGAAAATGCTGTAGAGTATCTTTGTGGTCAGAAGATTGGTCTCCAATTTGGAAATATTCCGTTATTAATAACAAAATTGCTCAAATACCTTGGAAAAGAGTCAATTGAGCTATTAAACAGATTGACTGCGAACATGAGAGACTATTTGAACAGATTGAGCACTGATAATCCCGAATTTCGCGTAGTTGCAAAAAAATATTTCCACAAAAGCTTGAGAAAGCGGATGATTTATTTCAAAATGATATCACTCCAACTATACTCATCCATTTACCTCAATGAAATCACAGAATCAATCAAAACTGCCATAGAAAAATTCGGAATTATGGATAAGTACAAAAAGTTCTTGGATTATATAAGAACTGTTAATCTATTTGGTCTTATTGATGAAAAAATGGCCTTGGCCATCTATTATTTTCAGATTCTCATTGAAATGTTGAAAGAGATCAAACTCTCCAACATTTCGGTCTCAATATTTGAATACTTGGCTGAAAATAAGCCTCCGTACAAAGATTTACACGGAATTACGTCTTGCATCGATATTATTTTGATAAGATTTTTAAGAATGCTCAATAAGGCAATTCCGGACATGTCTTCAAATATAGAAGCGGATATTAACACAAATCCACAAAATTTGGGCACTTTTCTTTTTAAATTTACATCTGATGGAAACCAAGTCCAAATTACATCTTTTATCAACCCTTGGATACAATAATCAGTTAATAAAATATTATTGTTTGTTTGCTTTAATATTAATTTCAAAAATATTTTTTTTTATTTTCTAATTTAAGTCAAAAATCAAGTCTTAATACTTTTGGAAGTAGTTTGTCTTTGCTTTTACCCAGTCAAAATCTTATGTTGCTCAATAAATTTTCATTCAAGAAAGATATTTTCCTTTTGTAAATGAATAACATCAAGAAGATGCTTTTTAATGGTAAAATATTTCACAAAAGAATGATTCTCGTTCGTCGTTTATTAATTAAAGAGAAGTATATATATCATTTGATATTATTTGCTCTAATTGATTGTAAATCCATCTATACGAAAAATCAATATACAGTACATAATGGGTTTACCTGGAGCTTAAAAAGAATATTTTCATTAGAAATTTCTTAGTAGAATCCTTGTGTGCAACTGTGCCGAAAGTAGTTTCATTATTTTTGTGAGTTATTGAGGTAATAAGGAGACTTAAACATTGAAAATTAGATTATATTTTTTTGAAAAACCTTTAATGTTTAAAAAAAGGTATTTATATTAACTTATCATACAAACAAACTATATATATTTAAGGATGTCAATTTGGAAGAAAAGTGAGAAAATTCCTAAAATGCTAAAAATGAATTTTCCAAACATGCTTTTTTATCTCATTTTTTTGATTTTGAAAAAAATTTGGAGAGAAGAACTCTTCGTTTTTGAATTTTATCACGATGGTTTTAAAGTATATTAGACACATGTATTGGTATTACTATTTTTGTATATTTTGAGAGAAAATCCCTAAAAAGTGAGAAAATCTAAGACGGTTTGAGAAAATATATAAACTATTGAAAATTTGAATTAAACTTCTAATTTGGAAAAAAGAAATTTGGAAAGAAGAAAATTCAAAAATCGAGATTTAGACTTAGCATCAAATGGAGAACAAAATGTTTCTTCATATGAAGGAAAAAAATTTTCTTGAGAAAAAATAGAGTTTTTAAAATTTTATTGTATGTAATGAAATAAACAAATATTAAAATTATTTTTTGATAACAAGAAAATTCCCAACAGAAAATATTTGAGAGAAAGAAAAAAAGAAAATTGAAAAATATTACTCTTCTTTATATTTCATGAGATTTTAAATTTATTCTCATAAAATTGACAATTTTATACGTTTAGATGAAAATAAGTGATTTTGGTTGAAATAGAAATTATTATTTGCTTACAGCTATCAAATAGATTTTTGCTATTTTGATTAAAATTTGTTAATCAAATTAATAAATTTTTTCTAAATATCTTAAATATCTGGATCACTCACATATACAATGAATTGAACGATAAAAATAATACAAACTCAACTAAGTTTCCTGTCTTTCAACTAAAAAAAATTATGCAAATTAAATTAAATTGTTTATTCAAATATAAAACAAAGATGAAGTAATTACAGTTATCATAAACTTTATGAATAACTCTGTAATTGGTTCAGATTTTCGTAAAAATATTTTTATTAATATCGATAAGAATACGTTTACCTACTATCACAACATATCGATAAACAAGAGTAGAGTGATTTTTATCATCGAAACTTTTTAAAAGCTGTAAGCTGGAAGGAAAAATCTTGTTTTTTCTGAGTTAGTTGTAGAACTATTGATGCACGAGTTATCATTGTGATGTAGAAGGATGTCAATGTACTGACTGAAGGATATGAAGTGAATTGAATTTCATTGAATTTCAATTTGATCAAAATTTGTTGAAATGATATGAATGTGTCAACATCTGTATCACTCTCTTTCACTCCTTCCTTATTCTTTCGAGAACGAAGCTAGCTCAGCTTTCGCTGAGCGAATTGACACTTTTCATGCCCTAAACGTACATACTCTCAAATTTATCGAAAAAATTATACCACCCAAACTAGTATATTCTTATTTTAAATATGATATTATCCTTAGAAATCACACTAGAATATATTTAAATCAACTTTTAAAAAAGTTCGAATCCTGCGCGTCTCACTTTTTAAATTTTCCAAAAGGAAAATTATATTCTCCTAAAATGAAAACAATTTTCCGAATTGACATCCTTATATATATTTATTCTAAATTATCATTATTTCTAACATTATTAGATTTTTGTTTTTTCTTCTTTGTTTTTCTCTTCTTCTTCGATTTATGGTCCTTATTGTAATTATCAATATCATTTTCGATAAGAGAAGGCATATTCGGTGCTTCATCAAGAGAAATAAATTGATTTATCTTTTGTTGCCAGTTCTTCACAAAGACTTGAAGTGGCTCGTGTGATCTTATTATAAACTTCAAAGCTAACGAAGAAATAAACGTAACTAAGCAATTCATGGTCATAACTCTTCTTGCACCAGAATGAGCGATCTCTGGGTATATGTCATCATCTGGATCTGTGTCTTCTATTTCCTCTTCCAATGTAACATATCGAATTCCTTCTTTTATGTAATCATGGAAAAATAATTTATAAACTTTATCGTAATTCATTGCAACTCCTCTTAATCTGAACGGCAGATCAAGTTTTTCATAGAAAATCAAGGCAAAACATTTCCAAATTTCAGTATAAATACTCCATCGTAACCAAGGCTTTCCTTTACCTGCAAAATGGCATCCAGCAGAATATATGACATGGAAATTTATATCTCTTGGGTTTCCAAGTACTGTATGCTTATATCCGCCATTTTCATGCATCATTTGTATTGGAAATACGGAAATTTCACCTCTATATAGGAGATTCAGTACGGCCATGTCATCTCTTCCTAGTTCTTTTTCGTCTTTTGCTGGATTTTTCAAATATTTTGTTGTAATTTCAATGAGTTCGACGTATTTATTTAAATCTGGTTCAATAAGCATGAAATCAGGGTTAAAAAGAATTCCGTTGTCTTTTATTGAGTAGTCTGTTAAATAATATGCTGCTGCCGGTGCTTGCCAACGAAATGCAATAGTTAGATCTTGAAATACAAGCGTATCTGCTCCTATATATAGTATTTTTTCGTATTGCGTCAATGTCCATGCTTGAATTTTGAACCATTTGTAATGAACAAGGCGTTTCGGATTAAATTGTTCTGGCCACTTGAGAACTGGTCGATATATTATGTGTGTCCATGTTTTATCAAGTATTCTTCTGATTGCTGCATCTCTACCGAACTCTTCTCTCACTACTATGACCCGATCAATTGTCGGATTAAATAATTTTAATGAATGTCCAAGGACAGAAAGCATTTGAATATAATCAAATGTTGGTGCAATATCATTTGAATAACAAGAAACGAATGCAACCCTTGATCTTGGAGGCATATCATTTGTATTATTTGCATAAAATAGATTTGCATCAATATAATCATTCCAATCATATACTTCTTCAAATATTTCGTTTTCTTCTTCATCATTTATATCTTCACATGCAATAATGGAAAAGAAAAAACAAAACATTTGAATCTGAAATATTTTTATTATCGAATAAAATTTATTTTTGGAGAAAGAATCATCTAATATTAATTAAATAGTTACTTGATTTCGATTAAAAATTGAAACAAATCTTTTCAAAAATTGTGAACCTCAGAAAAAAGCGAAAAAATAAAAAAATCGCACTTACTTATTCTTGAATGTTAGTTATAAGTACTGCAATCGAATTTCATCCCTGAATTAGGAGTTAAATAAATAATTATATATTTTATAAATAAAACAGCGAATTTAGAGTCGATAACAATCGTTATATGATTTACTGACTTCTGATTTCTTATAGTTATAGCATCATATATGTTCTCTAAGATATTGAGGACTTTATTGGATCAAATTGTGTATTCCTTTGCTATTTTTTAGATAGGACATCATTCATTAGAATATATTCAAATTGTAAAATTGAAATGACAACTTTTAAGATCCCAATCCATTTAGTCATTCGTTCAAATTCGTATTAAACTATTTTTGAACATTTCTTAGAAAAGCCAGAAAATGATGAATAATATCTGTCTGTGAATCAAAATTCTGTGATATTTTCAACAAATATACGAATATGTATATTGAAAACAGATATTTTGGTTTCTATGCTTGTATTCGAAAATATTTCATGCTTCCATTATGAGAAGAATGTTGTGAAACTAAGAATGCTTGATTATAATATCATCAACCAAAATTTTGAGATGCAAATCATGAAATTGTGAAGCTAGTTGGAGGGAAAATGCATTAAATTTGTGAGAAATAGCTATGGATGATCTTCATAGTGCTAGAGTCTTTGATTTGTTTTCAAATATCAAAATAAACGTACAGCAATGGAACCCGAACTCATCTTTCATGCGATGGCTACCCATCCTCCATTAAAAGTCATTGATTTTCTTGATGACTATACGGAGATATTTGTGGGTGGCCAAAGCGGAATTCTTACTTTCATCAAATTTTTACCTCGTTATAATTCATCACAGCTCAAAGTCAGCACAACAACAATCACAAGCATTAAGTATGATAAAAATACAAAAATAATTGCTGTTGGAGACAAAAATGGTTATTTGTACCTAATTTCTCCTTCACATACGTCAATTCTTAAATCTACAAAACAACACTCAGGCCAAATTAACGACATTACATTATCACCATCTGGTGATTTGTTAATCACAGCATCAAACGATAGAACAGTTAAATTCTTTACATTTCCAGAATTAAAGCTTATCACATCTAACCAAGGACATAAGTCATGGGTTAATTCTGTCACGTATGCCTTGGGTGGCAAGCGCATTGTTACTACAGCAAGTGATCGTAAGATTCGTGTTTGGGGTGCTAAGACTCATAAGCTTTACCAAATTTTTGAAGACCTTCCTTCAGTTCCTACTACATTGATTTGTAATCCTGAGATTTCATCATATTTTGTCGGTTTTATAAACGGACAGGTTGGTTACTATGACAAGAATGGTAAATGCGTTCAGTTATGGAAGCCACACAAATCTGTTGTTACATCTCTTAATTATGATCCTCATAACCGCATTCTTCTTTCATCATCAGATGATTCAACATTATGTGTTATTGATTGCACTACTAATAAGATGGTTATGACACTCGAAGCGCATCATAATCATGTTTCAAAAGTTTCATGGTGCAACGATGGGAAACATTTTGCATCGTGCGATACAAGTGGACGCGTTCTTGTCTGGGAAATGCCAGAACAAACATCACCATCTGCAAATAATTCACAAACTATTGATCAGCAAAATATTGCTCAAAAACTTCCAGAAAAATCCGAAGAAATAGTTACAGAAAGAGTTATTACTCCACAAGAAGAAAATCAAGAAATAGAACCAGAAAATACACAATCTGAAGAAACACCTGATGCTCCAGTTGTTGTTTCTGAAGAAGATAAATTACCAGAAAAGGAAAATTCCAATGAAAGTAAATCTGAGGATGAGAATATACATGAAGTAACTGAAACTCCGATTGAAGAAGACAAAATCCAGCCAGAAAATGCTGAAGAAGAAAGTACTCCAGAAGAAATTGAAGCTGAACAACATCTAACTGTTCATGAAGAAGAAAATGTTCAATCAGAAACTAAAACAGAAGAAGAAAGTATTTTTGAAGAAAATAAAATAGAAGAAGTTCAATCACCACAAGAAGAAATCAATATTGAAGCAGAACCAAAGATTGAAATCGCTACTGAAGAAGTTAAATCTCCGCAAGAAGAAAATAATATTGAAGCAAAATCAGAGAATGAAATCACTCCTGAAGTTAAATTTGAAGCGGAAATTGTTTCAAATGAAACTAAAGTTCACAATGATATATCTGAAGAACCTAAACTTCCTGAAGCCGTGACTCAAGAAGATGATGAAACAAAGAATAATGATGATGAATTGAACTCAGAAAATGAAGATACTCAAAAAGATTTGGAAGTGAAAAATGAAGAGGAAGAAGAGATCAAAGAAAATGAACATATTGAAGAAAAAGCTCCAGAAAATGATTCCAAAATTGAACAGAATGAGATAAAAGACGAACAAACACATGAAGTAGAAACAAAATCTCAAGAATCGATCAAAGAAGATGATTTTCATCAAGAAGAACTTAGTGGTGATAAAAATGAGAATGAAGAAAAAGTTGATGATCAATTAATTGAAAATGATTTACAATATCAGGAAAATGAACTCGAGAAAGAGAAAAATCAACTTCCTCCAAAAGAAGAATTAAATGTCCCTCATAATGAAGAAGAAGATTTGAAGTCAGATGATTTGAATGCTCATTCATCTGAAATCCCTGTCAAAGCAGAAGTTGTGCTTGATGATGCACATGAAAATAAAGAAACTATTGATGATGAAGAAGAAAGCACATCAGAAGATTATCAGAATCTTACATATGATCAACTTAGACAAAAAGTCTTAGAAATCATGGATGATCTTAAAAAGAATGGACTTGACGAGGAAGAAGAGGAAGAAGAAACACCTCATGAAAAAGTTGTTCCAGCTGATTTTGTTCCTGAATTGGCCGAAGATACCGAGAATTCAGAAGAAAACAATGAAAGCCAAAATGTTCAAACCAGGGAAGTTATTATTCTTTCTGATGACGATGATTACGATGAAATTCCAATTGCACCACCAGTCCAAAACATTGAAAAAACATATGAATCCGAAGATAAAGTAGAAAATAAGATTAAATGTCAAAATGAGAATCAAGAAAAGAAAGAAAAGGAAATTAATCAACACAAAGAAGATGAAGGCAATCAAAAGGATAAATGCAAGAAGAAAGATAAAGAAGAGAAAGAGAAGAAGAAAGATAAAGAAGACAAGGAAGATAAGAAGAAAGATAAAGAAGACAAAGAGAAGAAGAAAGATAAAGAAGATAAAAAAGAGAAGAAGAAAGATAAAGAAGATAAAAAAGAGAAGAAGAAAGATAAAGAAGATAAAAAAGAGAAGAAGAAAGATAAAGAAGATAAAAAAGAGAAGAAGAAAGATAAAGAAGACAAGGAAGAGAAGAAGAAAGATAAAGGAGAAAAAAAGAAGGATAAGGATAAGAAGGAGAAAAAAGATAAGAAGAAGGAAAAATATGGTAAAGATAAAAAGAATGAGAAAAATGATGATTTAATTCGAAAACGAGAATTAATAGACAATGAAGAAGAAGAAGATATCCATGAAGAAATAACAGTTGTCGAAAGGAGTATTACTTTACCTGAAAATGATTTTAATGATTTTAATGATTTTAATGAAGAAGAATCATTCAATCAGATTCCAAACTCTCACAACGAAGAAAATGATCCAGAAGAGGAGGAAGAAGACATTGTTGATCCTGTCATAATTGAACCCAAACAACCAATGGGATCACACGTTCCAGAAAGCCGTCTTGAAAGTATTCTTATGCAAATAAATTCTCAACTAGAGATTCTTAGGCACACCTCAGAAGGAATGATAAGGCGCGCAGAAGATGTTCAAGCTGTTATTGATGAACTTGTATCTCAAAATTGACAACTAAAGTAATGTTTTATTTTTTTCTTATTCATATTATTCTTATTGACTTTCAATATCTAATGTCAGCAAACATACACTACTCAGATATTTTAAATTTATTATTTTATTGTATTTACATTTACTGCTCCAAGAAATGGTGTTCTATAAACTTTTTTAACAATATTTTTGAGGTTTTTCATTTTTAATTTTTCTTCTTTATATTTTTTAAATGTATCATCTTTATTTTCTTCGATTTTTGCAGCAATACAATATGTTGAATAATGAGATATAAATGAATCTAATGAATCAATTGAAATAAATTTATTTGTATTATTATCGCGAACAGTTTGAATGACAATATTATTATTAAAGTAACAATTATAAACAGTTGGTTTTTCTGAAAATAAATAGATTCCTTTATTTCCTATGAATGAACAACTTGAATATGTAGTTGAAGAAGAACAAACAATTATTGCACCAATTCCTGTATATTAATTGTTTAAATAATTACATTTTGTAATATTAAAATTACTAGAATTTCTAATTACACCTAATTCTGTAGATGATGTATTTGATGCTGTTGTGAGATTAATAATTCCTGTTTCTTTTGGAATTTGAATTGAATATGTAGCATATTGAGTAATTTCATGATAAGATGTATTCATGTTACTTACTTTGATATCTCCTCTCAAATGATAAAGAGAAGCACTGATTCCGCTGCATTGTGAAACTGAACTTTCAAATGCATGACTTTTGTTGTAACTATTTTGAGCCGAAGTAATGCAATATCCACATCCAGAATAATCACTTGAAACAATTGATGAGAGAAAAATACAAATATGAACTAAAACACAGTCAGAATACCTGATATAGAATGATCCACCACTATCTGTGGAGCTGTTATTGTAAAATGTGCATGTTTCGAGTAATACTTTGCTGTTGGAATTAATGGAAATTGCTGTTTTTCGCTAATGGAAAGAAAATACTGCATTATGAATGTAATAATTGCCATTACTTCCTGATATGGTTTCGTTCTCACTTTTATCATTAGACTCAATTGTGTTGTAATATTCTGAAAAAACTTTGTCGATATTGCATAGAGTATTGATGAGTGATTGATTGTCTTTGATACGCATTTTTGAGTGTTGCTTCGTAAGAGTTATGTTGAAATTACGCTTAAATATAAATAGCATTCGAAGGAGATATGATGTTAAAGTGTATTTTAGTTTGATTTTATGGACAAAATTGACTGTGTGAAATTGATTTCAAATTTCGCCATTAACTTGGATATCTTTTTCCGTATTGAGAGCTGAATATAATTATGAATGAAAAATGAAATGGGAGATTTTGAAAATCATTGAAATTGAATAATTTACAAAAAAGTATATAAAATTATGAGTCAAAATTCATATGAACCTGGAAAGGTTTGTATTGTTGGAATGTACAATTCAGGCAAGACATCTATTATTTGGAGGTATATTATGAAACTTGATCGTTTAGCCCCAACGATTTCTCCTACGTTATACGAAATTAATGTTGATCCAGGATATGGAAAGCGAAGAATCAAATTGTTTGATACTGCTGGTACAGAAAAGTATCAGAGTATGATGCCAGCAACATTGCGCGGATCTGAAGCAATAATTTTAGTTTGTTCACAAGATGAACCAAAATCATTTGATTATATCAAAGAATGGCATGAAAAACTGATCAGAGATTACGGAATTAACAAATTTATTGCAGTTTGCAACAAAACAGATCTCCCAGAAAAGCTTTCGGTCGAAGAAGTTAAAAACTGGGGTAAAGAGCATAATATGCGAGTACTAAGAACGTCAGTTCATGAGAACAAAAACATTGAAAACCTTTTCATCAGTTTGGCCGCATTACTTGATCCACCAACTGACGGATCAGGCAAGCAAATGTTAGTACCAAAAAGTATGTGTTGTTAAACTTCGATTTACATGTATCTGTTTTAAAAATATTTCCTTTATCGAGAAAAATTTTTACATATAACTTAATGAGATAAAGTTATAAATTGTTAGATGAAATAATTAAAGATTACTAAATCAATTTATCTATATAAACACAAAATAAAATATATCAAAAAAAATATAAAGAAATCTGTTCATAATTAGAATAACTTGAGCATTTGTAATGTCTTCTTAGTATTGATTTTCGGTTTGAGAAGAAGTTTGTTTCCAACTGCTGTTTTTGTCAATGTTCTAGTAAAGTTTAGTGCGCCATCGACTTCACGAAGTACTTCATCAACTTTTTCTCTCTGTTCTGGGTTCTTGTTCAACATCATTTTGATGATTTTAATAGTAATGAAGGGCGTGCAAGGAGGAATATAAGGTTCGGCTGTAACGATACCTTTTGTGATTTGCTTGTCGGTTCCATTCCATGGGAATTGACCAAAAAGCATTGTATAGAAACAAACTCCTAAAGCCCAGACATCAACTTTTAATGGATCGTAAAGTTGGCCTGTCAATACCTCTGGAGCCGTGTATTCGAGTGTTCCGCATACAGTACTCCTCAAGTTTTCTTCCATTTGGACAACTTCATAACATAATCCAAAATCGATCAATATTGGTGTCTGATTTGGTGCAACCATGATATCGGTTAGCTTGATATCTCTATGAGAGATGTTCTTTGAGTGGAGATAAGAAACAGCAAGACAAAGCCCTTGTAACCATTTGCAAGCTGTTTGCCATGTAAAAGGACCTTCATCAAGTATTTTGTCATGAAGAGTTCCGAATGGGTAAAAAGGCATTACCATCATAATGTAATCTGGGAAGTATAAAATCTCTTTAACACCAATAATTCCAGGATGCTTTATATTTTGTATAACACGAAGCTCTTGCTCAAGCCGTCCAAACAAGTTTAACTTTGTTATTTCTTTACGATCGAAAATCTTGCAAGCGTAGAGTTCGCCATCCTTTTCATTTCTTGCTAGAACTATTTGGCATGTATTGCTTTTATTTAGAAAATCTTGAACTTGATATGAGCCGAGCTGTTTGATAACTTCCATTACTTTTGAAAATATTTTTCTGCATTGAAATTTTGAGAGAAAAACATAAAGTTATTTATCGAAAGGATATATTGTATGATATTGTTAGATGAAAAATTCATAATAATCGCTAGGTTAAATTTACAAAAAAAATATAAAAAATTAAAAGTTGCAGAATATTAAATGTTATATAATAATGATTGATGTATGTCCAATTATTTATTGAATGTGGTTCGAATTTTTGAGAAAGAATGTAAAATTTTAGATATGATGTTTGAATCAATGATATAAATTCATTATAATTTCAAATTTTAATTTTGATAGTTTCGATAAATTGAAAGAGTTTTTAATTTTAAAAACTAAAAATTGTTTCATTTATAATGTTATTAATTAATACTATTATATATTGAAAATATATCAATCGAAAAGGACAAATAACGTGCAAACAGTTCTCGGTTTTCAGTCTAAATATTTAATATGCTTTATCATCCGAATGTTAATAAATATTTAATAAAATAATAAGAATTTACTACGATTCAGGATAATTTCACTCTATTATATGGTAATTTGAACGATCCCTAAACGAAAAGATTTCGATAAGCATTACAATTTTATTTGATCGATAAATAATTAGTATTCCAAATATTTCAAAAGTTTTCTTATTATCTATTACATTGCTATTATATATTAAGTGCTTCGATCTTAAATGTTCGAGAGATATCTAATTATATATACATTAATGATACAACAGTTGATCTTATCTGAATTGATTTTTGATGTAGTAATTTAATTGTTCTAAGCATCATTCAGCATACATCTCATATGCAAATAGTGTACTGTTAGAAATTCCTTGATTTATCAATTATAAAGATGAAAATTTTCCAGAATTTTGCAAGAATATGGAATAATTTTATTCTTTGTTTTTACTGCTAAATTCAAATACTCATGTGGATTCGAGAAGTTAATTTTGAAAGATATTATCAAAAAAAATTGTTAATTTTTTTTCACATTTTGATCTATATTGTTTTTTTAAAGATACAATTGATGAAATTCAAGGGTTTCTGTACTGTAATTGTGATTTGTTTTGTCAACTAAAACAGTAAATACAGTTTTAGTCTGATATATTCTAAATTAAAGAAACTTCATATTGAAATTTATCACCAAATTTATCAAAGTCTAGATATCATTTATATATACACAATTAAATACAATTATCGATTCATTTTCGATCATAACCACTTTTTTGAACTATTTTTCTATAATTTAACTTCATTATCATTATTAATGCAATCCAATTAAAGATATAATTAATATTTATATTATAATTGAGGAGTACTCTGCTTAATATCAAAAAATACCACTTATTACGTTCAAACCTCAATATTTTGAAACTAATTATCTGCTGATATCTCAAAAATATAATACATTTTGGATTAACTACAATTAGGAAGTCTTATTTCGAAGAGAAAAATAAATGTGTTTGAGTGTTTTGCTAATCAAAATAAGGATTGGTAATTAAACAAAATTACTATGCATCAATAGTAGTATTCAAGTCAATTTAGACAATCAAGTATTAAATTTAGTTTAATTTTAAGTGAAACGATCAAGCAATAATAAAGTTTTCATTATTTTGATTATTTTCTTTTAATTATTAATGACAACAAGTTAATGAATACTTTATGAATGATATAATTCATTTTGATAAATTTTACTGATATTAATTGGCCTGCGCCAAAATTTACATCAAAAATAAAAATTATACAACCCGAATAATAAATTAGATTTTTACAACAATTTGAGTTTTGATAGATTTCGGCTTTTGAAAGAAGAAGTAAAAACTTGCCTCAATTTTTTTATGTTGTCTGTATTTCTTATCGTTCAAATGCAAAAAACCACTTACCTAAATTGCCTTATAGATCCTATTTCATAAAAAATTACGCTCTTTGATAATAACTCCATTTTGAGTAATTATTCATTTTGAAAGGAAAAGAAGATTAAATATTTTTGATTCTATTTTCATTTATAAATTAATATCAAACTTTTCATAACACACGTGCTAAATTTTTTATAGGTAAATATTATTAATAACAGTATAACTAACATAATCGGTTTAATCTAAATAGAAGCAAAACTTATCAAAAGTTTGAATCACTCACTGAAAATTTTTGAAAAAAATAGCATCTTTTCAAAGAATTATTTTTACTCAAATTCTTCCTTAGAAATCCTAAAATTCAAAATTAATTAAATATTTTATTCTATTCCAGTATATAAAGCAATACAATTTCCTTTTCAATTTCAATTTTGTTCAAAACATTCAATTGAATTTAAATATTCATTAATTCATTATGAACGCCCCAGAGATTGACTTCTTCAAGGGGCAAAATATCGAGATCGTTAACGTTATTGGTGAGGGAGGGTTTGGTTCAGTTTTCTATGTCTATTCTCATACTTATAAAACATATTTTGCTTTAAAAAAGATTCCTCAAGACAAGTTTAAGCAGGCCGAAATCGACTGCTTAATGACAATCGATGATCCATACATTGTTCGCCTTTACAAGTATTATAAATTCGAAGACAATTACTACTTATTGATGGAATATTGTCCTAATGATCTTGATCGTCTTTTGCATGACAGATCCAAGATGTCCAACCCCATTCTAATCCAGAAGATAGTAAGAGATGTCATCATGGCCGTCAGAGCCTGCCATAATATCAAGATTGCTCATTGCGACATTAAACCGGCCAACTTTTTAATTGACAATTATGGAAGAATTAAGATTTGTGATTTCGGAATGTCAACTTTTTGCACTCAAGATAAGGCAACTTCATCTGTTTTCAGAGGCACATTTTATTTCATGGCCCCAGAAGTTTTTGACCATAATCAATACAACCCAATACGTACAGATATTTGGTCACTTGGTGTTACTCTTTACTACATCGCTACTGGAGTTTTGCCATTCAATGGTCTGAACAAATTAGCATTAAAGGATAGCGTAACCAAAGGAATTTATAACGAGGATCTTGTTCGAGATTCACTTCTTAAAGATTTGATCGCTAGGTGCTTGGAAGGTGATCTTAATTTCAGATGCACAATTGACGATTTAGTTGAACACCCATACTTCTCAAAGACATTCTCCGATCGTGGTGACAGATTATTACTTAAGAAAGGCGATGTAATAGTCAAACCAAAGGCCGTAGCTTCTCTCAAGATCAGTAAGCATAGATCTTCGCCATTATTTTCAGGATTCAATGTTTCTAGAGTTCATCTTCTTCAGGTTGACTCTCCTTAATAAAAATATGTTTGTTTGTTTTAATTCTTTTTTTTATAATATTTTAAATCGTTTATACAGTAATTGGATTGATCCAAGCCATTATATTTTAATTATGAGGTCCGAATTAACAGACGATAAATTATTACGATCAAGATTATGTAACCCGTAAAATGAATAGATATTTCGTACATTATTAACACTGACACACGTAGTCATATGAATCGGTGCTGTGAAGGAATGCTGAAAATCGAAAAACAGTAGATCTAAATGTGAAATGTTTTCCTATTTATGCTCTACAATCAATATTGCCTTATTGAGCAATTATTTTGTGCCTACTTGATTGTCGTTAGATCATATTATGGCTACCATTGGATCACTTCTCATTCTCATTGAAATCAAATCCCAAATATTGGTTGTTTTGAATAGTACCCTTTGTTGGTCTAAATGAAATCATAGTATTAATATTTCTTTATTGCAAATAAGATGATATTGATATTGTCACACAATTTCAAGTTTAATTTTCTTTTTCAATTCGTAATGATATATGTAACCTTACAATTTTTATTCTTGTTCCATATTGGTGTCATATTCTAGGTCAATTCATAAAATCAGTACTGATAATTATCAGCTTTCTTATATTTCGGCTTGGATTTCGGATTTCAAGTGAAAAAAGAAAGATTGTGCATAGTCGTTGCACGGTGGAGCTTTCAAAAACAATTGAAAAGTGAACAAAACTATTCTTGAGGATTAATTGAATGAGAATGATACTAAACATTCAAAACCATTGAAAAGTAGGTCAATTACAGCTCAATAATTATCAACATGGTTTACACACGCACTCAAGTATCGGCGTGCGCGAGGGAATTAATTGACAAGTACAAAATATAAAATGAATATTTTCTTTATCCAGCCTTTCATGATGAACGAAAGACCTACTACAAGAAAAGAACAATTATAAGTGTAATCCTATTCTTGGGTAAACATGCCATTTAAAGATAGGACTTATATTCATCAATATGGAAAAATAGAGTTCCAGCAATTTAATTCGATTGATCTTCAGAATGAGACTGCTACATTCATAGACATCTTCATAAATGAATTATATGCTAAAATAAATTCTCTTGGAAATGTTTTATGTTAGGAACATGGGTTCTTTATGTGAACTTTGCATAATAGACAATTTAAGGTGTTCACAGATAATAAATAAGAATCATATCATTTAATTCTTTAGAAACTCATCAAATTTGAAAGAATGAATTGAATTGTCAAACAATTGTTGGGCTTAATTGAAAAATAGATGAGGAGAACTGATATTCACATGTATTTCTCTATGAATAAAGATCCGGTAAGTTATTGATTTATTCAAATCGAAAATTGTCTTTTTATTGGAGTAAAATTTAGACCTCTTTATTGGAATAAATGAATAATCATACTGTACATATACTATATTATAGGTAAAAACTCTTTATACGTTAGAGAAAATTTTGCCATTTTCGTTCAAAAAACAAATCGCAAAGAAATTAGCGGTAACTTATAATAGATTACATTTCTGGAAAATTTCAGGAAATTTTTTTATCAGATCTGCATAAAATTTGTAAGATTGTTTCGATTTTTTTTTCAATGGAATAAAATTTGAGGGATTCGAACAATTTTGTTTTAATGAACAATTGTCTAAATTTAAGTAAATTCTCAATTAGATCTAATTTTATGAATTTTATTCAGATTATTCAATTTTTTTTTCAATAATTGAAATTTTTTCATAAAATCAAATGAGTTGTTGTATTTCCACATTTCTCAATTCTTATTAACAATGACTTTAAGATTGACATCCTATTCATGGCTAAAGTTTTAGGAACTTTGAAGCCTAATTTGATATTGAAATTTTGGAAGATCAATAAATATGGGGATAAAAGTTGCATAACCTTGGACATTAAGAGGACATGTTATGAGAGTGGATAGCGTTCGACGATTCACTGAAAAAGTTACTCCTCGAAAAGACTATCTAAAGCCATCAAGTTTTTTGAATATTTTCTATCGTCTTTTTATTTTTAGTAAATTAGGATGCTCATTAAGGGTGCCCTATAACGATAATGTAAACATCACAAAATTAACCTTATTAGAACTCGAATGAATGGATTATCCAGATTCTAGTTCTCAATATAATAGCCTTAAAAGTGCTTTTCTGAGGGTGGTCTATCGTCTATAGGGCACCCTTAAACAGTATGATTAAATATACAAAAAATTTTAATTTATTTTTCAAGGGAAAATAATCGTACGCTACAAAATTCTTTCGATTCATCATTCAATTGAGAATGATAATTTTGTAGCATATTTAGAAAAATGCTACAAAATTATTAAGTTATGATGATATTCTTGCACTCAATTTTGAAACTCTCTGATTTACAAATAAGCATTCCTTTGGAAAAGCAGTCCTATTATGATTCAAGATATTTTAAAGCCCCCATTTCATACAATGCGCAGATATATTCGAAATTGCAAGAACTCTCAAGAAAAATGCAGCAGCAAAGAAGATTCCATAGTTTCTAGCATCAAAAATTTACAACCTTAATACAACAGTTAAAGAGAAGCTCGAAAAGAAAATAATTAACCATAAAGCTGGAAACCATTCGATATATACTATTAGATCTAATAAAAAGTTAATTATAACATATTTTACATGCTATTGTTAACTCTGTTCCATTATATTACCATATATATCTTTTTGAAATCTAAAATATTTTTACGATTTTAACCATGTGTTGTTGAAACCATATATCAATCTTAGCTAAAGTATAGTTTATGAGTTTGTCACCATCTAACGTATGAATTTTCAAAAATGTCAAATATGTTCATTTTTTCTGTATATTCAGCCATAATTTCACGTAGTTATACTATTCAACTATTATTTAATATTTTTATCGATTTAAATATATGATGAGATGCTTAGTTCTCCCGGAAATCGATTTTTAATCGCAATTTTAACTTTCCAAAAAAATTCAAAAATAAAAATCCCTCTTAATTTTCTAAGGTCATTTCAAGAGCCTTGTACCGATAAACTAGCCTTGTACTGCCATTTTATGGTGATGTAAAGTATTCAAAAAATTTGCAATGTAAACCATTACATGGCAGAAACTTTAAAATAAACAAAAACATGACACTTAGTACAGGGGCTTTTTGGCTGGTGAAGTCAGATAAAACGTGGCTCAAGTGCTCGTTTAAAATTAAAAATGGAATTTCTCACAGTCGAATTTCTTGGTAGACAACAAAAGTTTATCATCAATTGTCGCGCCGAAGGTATGACATATAGTCAAACTAAGCTTGCATGGGAGGAAGAATACCCAGATCTCGGAACTTTAACATCCAATCTCATTGCTACTGCACTTAAAAGAGCTGCATTAGGTCTATACTGGGAAAAAGGGAATCATGGCGGTGCAGATCCATACCTATGCGAGCGTGATCAGCTCACTTTAAAAGAAATTATCGAAGATTCTGCTTACAAAGGTGAAGCTCTAGAAGCAGCTGACATTATTGACGAGGCGTTCAAGTTGAAAGAGCTCAGAAGAGATTATGGTTACAGATTCCTTCTTGAGATTAATTGTCCTACTCTTGCAGAAGAAGTTATCAATACTCTTGGTGGTGACGATGTATCGAGACCTTATGTTAACCATATTTTACAGCAATTGCAGTGCAAGCTTAAGGCATGCCAAGAGATTGAAGAATCAAGTACATGGCGTGTGTAACCAAGAATTATCGAAGAATTCTACGATAAACATCGTGAAACAATCGAAAGTACTCCAGAGGAGTTGATTTTTAGTATCGATGAAACATTCATAAACAAATTTAAGAAGAAGAAAGTTGCATTACCTGAGGAGATAGAGCATATGATCGCCAAAGGAATTCCAAACTTTCCGCACATTACGGCTTTATGCGGATGCTCAATGACAGGCAAATCTGTCCCACCTCTCTTTGTTCTCCCATGTATTGCAGAACTACCTAGAGAACTGAAAGTATTCCAGCGCGAAAAACATTGTTGGTTTACTTCTACGCCAAAAGGCTGGGTGAACAGAAGTGTATTCTTATTGTATTGCATTTTCTTCATCGAGTGGCTTAACTTTGAACGCCAGAGAATGCCAGAAGATATACGTGACAAGCCTACTCTCATTGTGTGTGATGGACACTCCAGCCGCGAGAATCCTCTGGCATTGTTCCTTTTGGCAAGTGCCAACATCAAATTAATTGTTCTTCCCGCACATACAACACACATTTTACAAGTATTTGATGTTGGCATTGCCAAAAGATTAAAGTCCAAATTCACGGATTATCTGAGAGATTACATTAAGGCACCGAAGCAAGAGTTCAACAGCAATGCTGCAATGATGCGCTACGCCATTATCTACTCATTTATTAGCGCATGGCAAGAATCAGTATCATTAAGAACGGTTCAAAATGCTGCTGCCGCCTGCGGTCTTTGCCCTTGTTCTGTAGAAGCTCTCAAACATAATAAGTATGTTCGTGAATTGACTCCTGCAGAAAAAGAATTGCAAGAGAAAAGAAATTACCGTAATCGAAATCGTTTTAACATCAATGGTGAAGAATTGACGACGATGTGTTGTAAACAGAAATTCATCAAAAGTGACACCTCAGAAAAGCTAAAGTATTGAATTTTTGGAACTTTTGATAGAGCACGTTTTTAAATATTAATTAAAGTAAATGTATATTTTGTAAAGATTCTTTTTAATAAAAAAATAAAATTTTGAAGAAGAACACAAAATCTTCTGAAAAATAATATCACATAAACTCATATTATTTTCTAATATATAACTATTTTATATAAAAATCAAATTCAATGATCTGAAAAGCGAAGGATAAACCTCAAAATTTACGAATATAATGAGTGGGAATATAATGCTTATCTATCATAAAACCATATGAAATATCAATTTTTGCTTTACGCCTAATTTTTGACGACAATTAGCAAAAAATGTTAAATGTTAACACTCAGTCCATTTGAATATGAA